TTTTTTTTTCTTTTTTTCCAGTAATTAACGCACATTCCGGAGAATTATCTAAGTAATTAGTGAGTGTAATGGAAAATTCATCAGATAATTCTAAATTCAGGGAAAATGTCTTGCTTCACTAAAAGTTTTAATAGGAATTTTAACAAGACTAACTTTTTACTTTTTCAACAAGAAACAACAAAGGAGAGTAAATAGGAAAGTGGTTTTTAAATTGTATGTCGTCACCCCGAAACTATCACCTTATTGGAACGGTTTTTTACATGGGGAAATTGTTCATGAAATTTTCCATTACACATTGTACGCGCAGACTCACCCGTACAGAATTATTTGCAATTAAATTGAATTATTGTAATTATTGAGAGTTATTGTAATGAAAGAATAATAAATAATACATTGGAGACTCTAAGATGATAGAAATATTTGTTAAAATATTAATTTTTAATAATTGAAAAATGGCACATTTTGCAGGATCATTTTTATTTTTATCTTAACAATTCCAAACACTCATATCAATATCATTGCAGGAAATCTTGTAGGAAATATTATGCTCCAAAATGACTGATAATTTTGGAGGACAAAATAATAGTATTTTTCTAAATCTGAGTGTGTTGCTATAAATATATAGGATTTACCATTTTTGTGTGATTTTATATTCGTAATTTATATTTATTATTTTCCGTAAATCGGTAAGTTAATAACTTTATTTTAATCTAACAAAAAAAAATAACCAAATGGTAAAATACTAAATATTCATGGGTATGCATCAAAATATTAAGAAATAAACAGAAGATTCTTCATAATTGCTTTACTTACATTTTTTCACAATAACTGCCCACTTTCCAATCATTTCAGAAATATTTCTTCAGGTGTTCGACGCTGAGCTATATTATGTTATCTGTATATATTAAAATTTTTCCTCACCAGAATTACTTACCTTCTAAATAATTAATTATTAAATTTTTCCAGTTTTTCCAATTTAATGATTATTTTAGTTATGGAGACATGATTATATTAGATGGAGACATTTTCAAATTTTTTCGATGAAATAATTAGTGTGCTAAATAATTTTGATTTATTCGATTCACTTTATTTCCAACTATATGGGTTTTACACGGTTTACAATATTTCTAAAACAATTTTCTCATTTATCGGATTTAATACATCATGTATGCGCGCCATAGGCCACGTCTATAGAAATCCCCACTTCTGCTAAAATGCGGCTAGTTCGAGGAGGTAAGTATGTGGGGTATAAAACCTAGCAGTCGTCTTTCCAAATGCTAGTTCAATCCAACGCGTTCCCTCGATACATTACCAGTCATTTCTCCCTTTTATTTCCATCAGTAATAATTACACTTCCGTGAGAACCACAGGTAAGCCAAATGGCATTTTCCAAATTTCAATGATCTTCCACAGATGTTATCTTTATCTCATTACAATAATGATCCTTAGGAGTTCAGAATGGAGTCCCATGTACCCAATTCACCATCCCGATGCACGTGGACACGAAGTGGAACTAATTCACCGCATATTAAACGTGACGTGTAAGTTCGATGACTGAAATTATCCGCTGGCAATAATTCAATGTTTTGATGAGGAGGGGACACTTATTTTTGAGGTGATTAACATGTGGTAATTAGGGTGTAACGTCCCTCGACGTTGACAACGCTGTTGTTTTTTTCAACGTTGAATGTCGGGAATTGAATACTATTGAATTCGCCTGAATTGATTGAGAATTGAAAAGGTGTATTAAATCGTGTCGCGTAAATATGTCAAATACAGAAATTTCAACTCTGGATGTTTAAGGATATTTATCAAGAATTCCAATATTTATAAATATTGGTGTGGTTTAAACGAGAGATGAAGCTATATCCCCTTTATTTTGATAAAAATTTTAACCCACAAACATTCCTCATTCAGGAAAAAGGTTTACAAAAAATCAAACCTATGCCAAAACGTGCGTTTAAATGTTCAACAATGATTTGAAATATTTTCTTTATTATCTAGAAACTCCAAATTTTTCTCTGCTCGTTTGCTTCAGCTGAATTTTCCATATGGCCTTCTACTTTTATTTAGATTCACAGACTGTTCTAGTACGTCAATTCTCAATTTGAATATAGATTTCATAAGCTCGAGTATGAGGAAATAATTGTTTATTTATTTCTGCCCGAACTATTGCGATTAATATTTCCTTAATACCAAACAAGTTAGTTCGACATGTTGGCACTTAAAAGATAATTGAATTTTTGTTGAAAGTGAAAAATCATCCTTAACGAGAACTACTCTAAGAAAGGAAACGATAAGAATAATTCGATTACTAGCTAGTGATTTTATCGTAGTCTATTATTATCGGAACGACTCCTGATTTCAACGCGACTGTACATTTATTATTGGAATCTGTGAAGAGTATAATTGAATTTTGAAATTTTTCGCCATGTCATACCTCATCGAGAGTCTTGGTCAATTTGATTAATTTTCTTTAGAAAATGTTTGGAAAGCAAGTTATATGCGAAAATCAATACTTCCAGTTTTTTTTGTTGGAAAGGAAGCATGAGATGGCATATTATATCTCTTTATTGAATAAGAACTAAAATACATATATATAATAAATGAGAACTATGCTGACTCTTGATAGATAATGGTTGACAGTTTTTCAAGTAGATTGCATTATTGATTACCCAAATAAAAATACTGTTAAAAGTATTGACAAAGAACAATTGAGTTTTGAAACTATTTTTTCAGTATAATTTTTTTCAGACTGCTCTCACGTTGCTTTAACCAACTATAGTTTCTTCATTTGAGAATTACAATAATTTGTATTGAGTAAAAAGTTGTATAGGCACTTTTTTTTATTTTAAACAAATTTCGTAGCAAAGGATTCTCATGACCACCAGTGACCACTGACTCTTCTAAGCAACATTTGAGTGGAATACGTTAAAAATCACAATATGACTTCATTGCGTAAAATACGTGAAATGATTTGAATTTAAAAGGAGCTACTTTTTTACAGCCATAATATAAACCATCACAACCAATGCAGGAAAAA